ATAATAATAATAATAATAATAATAATAATAATAATAATAATAATAATAATAATAATAATAATAATAATAATAATAATAATAATAATAATAATAATAATAATAATAATAATAATAATAATAATAATAATAATAATAATAATAATAATAATAATAATAATAAAAAAAAATGAATTAATCAATTTAAAACACTGGCTGAATGGGTTTTTTTTTTATCACAGTCATCAATCCAGAAGGGAAACAGGCAGTTTATTGCAATGAATGAAGCCTGACAATGCCTAATTAAAATAAACAGCACTGATTAGAATGTGATCATACTTTCTTATTAACTTAAATCAATTTCATTTCACTTCTTCATTAGGTTTGGCCTAATGGGTCACTAATTTGTGTCTTTTTAAACAGCCATTAATTTAGAGTTCTATTATTTGCTGAACAGTGGCCGGGCTTATGGCTGTATGATTTATCACGTGTCAAAGGAGATTTTATGAACACCACAGATAAATGTTTCATCTAATGCATGCCGTGGGAATGTCTCGCTGTCAGAGGCGCTAGTAGAGTGCTAATTGAAAGGGTTTACTTTAGGCAATACTGCGTGATCATAACAAACACACACATACAGTACGTCTGAAAGAGATGTGAAATCAAGCTGTAACCCCTCTAACCATCACAGCATACTGTATGTGACAGGACGTGACAACCACTCCCTTTTAAAATGCCAACCAAAACAACAGGTACTGCTCACAGCTGTGCTATTAAACCACAAAACAGGCCCGCATAATGCATCACCAGATCACAGAACGACCCTCCCATCACCTAACCCACAAAGAAGAACGATAGATCGTCAAGTGCTGAAGATCATTACACCAAATTATTTATGGCGCAGAGACTGAAGCTCATTTGTGAGCCAGAAGTTTATTCCAAAAAGGAAAAGAGCAATAAGGTAATAGGAAAAGCAGCTGGTAGGACTAAGTGCTATGGTATTTGGGGAATTTATCACACACTTTAGAAAGGCTGTGGGTGGAAGTGTGTCTACACAATCAGAGAAACACACATGGCTCATTCCTGCTATGCAGTACCTATCAAAACTGTAACTTCTGAAGAATAAATGCTTGATTTGTAATTTAAGCAAGTACTTCTATTTTTTGTATGATATTATTCCAAACGTTCTAAAATGCTCGGATCAGAATCAAACACTTCAGCATTATTAATTATATAATGACATTATTTACACAATAACAAGAAAATGAATAAAATGGTTACTTACAAGAATGGAAATAAGAGCTTTTTAATATTAAAAAGCAGATTTCTGTAATTTTATCAAACAGTGGAACAAATCCAATACCACAAAAACACAGTGCATTAGTATTTTTAGATGTTTATTCTGTTGTTTTCCCATGGGGAAAAAATGATGACACTTCCTGGCAGATGATGTCATAGGGAACTCGTTTTGTAGTAATTTTCAAGTTAAAGATTTTACCACAGACTAACATGACGGAAAGTGATATTTGAGGGCACAGTAAAAATCTATATTGATTCTCAATGAAAACATTATTTCCAAGATTGCAACAACACAAAATGAAGGTCTTAAATCATTTTCACTCCACAGTAAGACTAATATCTGATTTTCATATTCAACATTTCAACAAACATTTAATAACCCAATATGCTAGAACATACATGTCAAGGACATGAAAATGTAGGCCTGCTACTGCACAGTGAGCATGACCCACATAAGTCTTTTTAAGTGCTCAAACAGTGAGTGAGTGTATGTATCATGTCTGACAGTTTACCCATAAACACCACAACACATTCTTCTTGTATATTTCATTCCCAAAAAAAGCCTTAACACCTTGTAACGCCGCTTTGCACAGTCCGGCGAGCTTATGCCTTTATTGGCAGTATTGACAGATAATCGACTTCTCGAAGGCCACACCTACCTGGAAAGTCACCCAACGCTGGCGGGTGAGCGGGTGAGCGGGTCACCCACGTGGGGTCAGGCTACAGCCTTTACTCTCGCGTCGCGCCGCTCGACTTTACATGGCAAACGCACCTGACGCGCGGCGAGTCGCGGACAGACGGGCGTCACGGTCGGTAGCCACACTCACGGCCCCCGCTGTGCGTACCCGCGGAGGAAGATGATGAAGAAGATGAAGAAGAAGAAGGAGGAAGAAAAAAGAGCAAGCTGAGGCAAATGCCCACAAGCCGAACACTTTCACCGTGTTTCCAGACTGCACTCGGCGCCCCTCTTCATCAATATGTAATCCACGAGCTCTCTCATTAAAATCCAACTCAAAAGCACGCGGACAAATACGCAGAAACGCCGCCACAAATATGAAAATACAAGAAGCTTTCATAGGCAGTGAAGCAAAATGGCGACTTTAATACGAAGGAGGAGTAAAAAAACCCTTCGCGCTGTTGCTAAAGGAGGCACGGGGATATGTTTAGTGCAGTAATCGAGGGTGGAAGAAGTGAACGCGACGGAAAGCAGAGGGGAAGGCACAGCGTCGCGCGGTTTCGCCGCAGCCCCTCGATTCTGGTCCTTACCTCGGGATTATGCCGTGTATTAGTTTGATAGGGATATTATCTCCGCGACCGTGTACAGTAACAGTATGGGTGCTGGGTCACACGCGTATCCGCCGCTGCCTTTGACAGTTGTGACTACAGTCGGCAGGCAACTTGCAAACTCTCGCGTTATTATTTATGATCACTCATTTTGATATAAGGCCAATCATTTAGGTATTTCTGCATAATAAAGCCCCTGCCTGAATGGAAGCGTTTGATGCGGCTTGACGTCATGCCGCTCGCTTATGACGACAGCAATGTAGCTTACAGCGGACGCTTAATATTTTTTATTTATTTTTTTTCTTCCTTTATTAGGATTAGCAACAAGTATACAAAAATATACAACCCTAGTAACAACAAAATCACAAAACAAAATGAAAAAAAAATAAAATAAATGTGGACGCATAATATGAGAACGTTCCCAACATTATCATGACGCATGCGATTCTAAGTTTGGAGAAAAGATTGCTTAGTTTTTAGGGCATCTGAGGATATTCATATCATTATGACCTCGTCTTCTTTTCGATAATATATATCATGTGGATTTGCACATATCGATACAAATGCATTATTTTAACTAGTTATTATCTGGATTTTTGCTGGCCAGAAGACAAAAGTTAACATGACGCCGTATCCCTGTAAATATTAAGTTTTGTTTTTATTTGTTTCTGTACTTGCTAAACGAATGCCTATCTTTTATTTCTGTTTACAAAGTGATTAAATTAAACACGTGTATGTGGAATTTTGAACGTTTTAATATTATAATTACATTTAACAACTAAGCAGTTCACGACTTTTCTCAAAGTCTGTCTCGATAATCCGTCAAAATTGCATTTGCAGTGCAAATTATTCATTTGTATGTTTTCTAAATCATTATCAAGTGAGGTCACGCTTTCCGCACCTACGTCACAGGGCTTAAGACTTTAACCCATTATTGTTTGTCTCTTCAAACTATGACGTAATGTAAGCGCCGTCGCTGCGGTCACCAGGAGAGGGAGGCACATGACTGCTGTTCTCAGGATGTTATGGAGACTCCTGGAAAAAGTGATACCCTAAAACGAATTCCTATTTTATACTGGCTGTAAATGCCATATTTGTCCAAAAGTAGCCTCAGAAAGTACAAATAAATCAACGCGCAACGCATGAAAGCCCTCTTTAGCAGACAAGCTCTGGAATGATAACATGCTATGTTTACCTATCCTATCTATTTTAGAGCATTGGTCAATCAACTCTAGTAATCATTCACTATCTTATTTACCAAAAGCGTTTTGCATCGTTACTCTTTCTTCTCTCATATACGTTTCATTCTCATAAAAGTGTCCACTAGTCAGCAGTATAGTGCAGGATTATGTGACAGTAGGATGAGTTTATGACGGATGATAACAGGTGATGAGCACTTAACACGGCTGTGGGCTGTGCAGGCCTGTCCCTTAAACCATAATTCACATGACTTTAATAATGCACATGAAATATAAATATAAATCCTATTGGCTTTTTTTCTGGAAGATGACACGTTTTGTATGTTATTAATATATCAGTCATTCTCCAGAGCACTACAGAAAATCATATGTCTACCAGAGGCCATAAACTGCACTTCGACCTCTGTGTTAGTGATTGGTGAAGGCCGAACTACTCTCAGAGTTACAAAGTATTCTTACATAATGGGTAGTTCATGTCATCTGGACACGTTCCCATAACCCTGTGGTAATACTGTATGTTAGCACTCCAGCTGTATTTTAGGCCATGAAATGAAGTAAAGCAAGCTGTGTGAAGGACCGCTTCAGCTCTGAGTAACTCCTCGCTGTTGAAATCCAAGAATAACTGAAGACATGGAGAGTCATTTCTTTTTGCTGCTGAGATTGGCAATGTGTGTGTTATTTTTGTATGCTCGAGAGCTGCTAGTTCAAAAGAAGAGCAGTTTCCTTTGGATTCCCTTGACGATCCATTTTGCATAGAGAGACTGTGATTCATCTATCAATGCACTTTCCAGGGGTCTTCGACTGGTTTCTCTAGGTGGTCCACCATTTGTGGCTCAGTCACAAACTACTCGTAGAAAAGAGATGTGAATATGCAGTAAACAACAATAAAGTATTTAGCTCATTTGATCTAGTTCTCTTGAATGTGTCTCTCCCGCATTACCAACATCTATGTCTTAAAACATAAATGTACAGCAACGAATATTTTTACTTTTAAAAAATATAGCCTACCTTACTATACTAAAATATACAATTATATTTTTTAAATAAATAAAAGTGTAAAATATGACTCTTTACACTAATAATGATTGTTTTAATGGCTGTTAAATGTAAGCATTACTATAAAAATGCATTAATATTGTTCTCCGTGCATGAATAGGTCAGATTTAAAATACAGCACTCAATTTTACGCAGTACAATGTTATTAACCATAGTACTTGATTAGATCTATTTAGTTATTTACCTTATTTTAATTCATAGAATAATTGTTTCTTATATGGAAATGATTTCATATTTCATGTAATATTTAATTTTAATATGTATAAATATTTATTAAGTTTAGTATTCATTTATTATTTTAAATGTAACCTTATTTCAAAATTAATTTTATTAATCATAAATGATCATTATAAAATAATATTTATATACATTTTTATATTAATACATTTTCGGTTCTCTTTATTTGATATGAAACAGTGTCATTTTAGTATGACTGAATATATGTTATAGTCTCTGTTAATATTTTGAAATAGTTTTTATTTTTTATAATTTATTTTAATTTTAGTTGAAGTTTCAGTAATTCCACAGTTTTTTTCCAATATATAGTTATATATAGTTTTTGTGAATTTTTATTTTTAGTTTATTTTAGTACTTAAGTTTTTTAATATATTTTATTTCATTTCAATTATTTATTTGATTTCAATTGATTTCCATTTATTTATTGTTAGTTAGTTTGTTTGTCTTTAGTTAACAATAATATCCCCGATGTAAATTGTGTGTTATAAAAGTATATAAAATACAGAATAGAAAATGTGTTATAAAATAGAAAATAGTTCATTCTCCAAGCAATCCCATTACCTCCCCTCTCTCTTTCTCTCTTTCTCTCTTTTCCCATCATATAATGAAGCTGAAATGAATGGTTATGGTTGAATAGGGATCGACAGAGCATAAATCTACTGATATATAGATTTGCGTGTGTTGCTGATAAAGCAGAACGGTGTCATAGATCTTGAACACCATTAAGCGGATTTCTCAACACTTGCTGGTCAGTTTACCATCAGGTGTTCACTTACCTTGAGTCACGGCCCAGTGACTGCAGCAGAGAGAACGGAGCGACGAGAAGAGTTCAATGATAAATAAGATGACATGAGAGATATAGGCGATACAAGGGTTTGTGTGTGTGTGTGTGTGTATCTGTTACAGTGATGATCGACCACGCAGATCTTTCATCTTGAATAGATGGAGTGTGTAACATGTGTTTTGTGGAGCACAACATGAACAGAACCCAGAGGGAAAGTGCAGTCATATATCACAATAGCAGAGCAGTTCAGGGATCTCAAATAAATGCTGCTGTCACCAGCTCACTGACAGAGATACATATGCATCCACGCTGCGCCTGACTAGTCCTGGATTTGTCCCATCACAGACGGTGTTGTGAATAATGAAAGAGAACATACCAGGAAAGCCTTGCTAAAATAGCATAGAGCGTTTGTACATAGACCATGCTGGGAAATTTTTCAGTCGCCTTAATTGTTAGTACTTCAAAGACATAGATGGGTTTATGCTGCCTTCGAGACTTCCTGTGATTTATTATTTATTTATTTATTTTTACTTCCTGATTAAAAAAAAAAAAAAAGATGTTTTACTTAGGCAGCAAAGGATGTGCTTGTTGCTTTATTTTTATTATTTTTTCTTTATTTTATTTTTATTTTGTGTTCGCACAAAGAATGATTGGAAAAGTAGTTACAAATGATCAAAAACTATTAGCTTCTACCATGATTCTCAGAAAATAAAGGCTTAAAGAAAATATGAGTCTGCCAAAGCTGGGTCAATGGCATGACACTCATTTTTGTCTCAAACTATTATTTCATGTAAAAATACACTGAAAATGCAATTAATTTAGTGAATACAACTGATCAAAATATAAAGAATATGAGATAAATAAAATAAAGGAAAGCCCTTAATAATTATTATTTATGGCACTATTATTATTTATTTAAAAAAATATTGAATTTTTTAAAATAAAGAATATTTCTGTAAATATTTACAAAACATATTAACAAAACAACCTACAGTTAAATCTAATTTACCAAAAAGAAAAAAAAAATGTATACACGGAATTCTGGGAAAGCCAGTTTATGGATTTTCACTGTAAATACACTGTTCTTTTTCACTTCCACAAACTGTACTTTTAACAGCATTTTACTGTTAAATTACATGAAATGTCTAATTACATCTATTACAGTTTTTCACAGCAAGGGATAGCTTTAAGCAGTTAACAGGTTTTTCAGTCTTTTTTTTTTTTTTTTTGCATTGCATTTTTACAGTTTTATAGTTAAAATTACAAGCATTTTTTTTTTTTTTTTACAGTGCATCATTTCAAAACAACTTTGTCAATCAGGCTTTAGTGCTTTACCATAGAGCAAGAGTTTGGCATAGGCGTTATGACATAATACAAATAAAATTATGACAGAAGTGATCCTCTAGATTTGAGATGAGATTGAGACTTTTCTTGAAAATGGTATAAAACCAAACCAGCATGAAAACAAATGGCGCTTTTCCACTGCGTGGTACGACTCTGCTCGGCACGGCTCGGCCCGGGTTGGCTCGGCACGGGTA